GAGTGATTAGATGGATGAAGCTTTGAAGGTTTGTACCGAAACCAGAAGGCATGAAAACCCACACAGCTGAGCTGTTTGTCACTGGCAGGTGACAGGTCACAGGTGGCATCCTATTCCTCCATTGGAACTTTGCTTGATTAATTGATACGGAGTTGATGATTTGTTTGGCTTGATGTAGATAATAGTTATTAGTTATTCAAACACTTTCATAAATTTACTACAGGCATTATCATCTTGCACAGCAGAATCTATGTGAATTTGTTTACCTGAAAAATAAAGTCTCATCATGACTATATATAAAGGTTATGAATGAAGATTACGACATCACATTAAACACAACTCAGTGAACCCAGTCCCTCTGAAAGCTCTTCCTCCTGAGATCCAATGCTTTTAAATTCGTCATCCAATGCTTTTAAATTCGTCGTACACCAAACCATGTTGAAGATTGAAAAAAAAATAAAAAAATTTGACACAAAGAAAGCATATGAAAGTTAGCTAGCAACGGGTCAATCTCCACCAATGTTGTGACCCTGTAATTGACAATTGACAGGTCGAGGTATTGAATTATTAATTTAATTGGTGGGTTGAATCGCATGACCTGAGTTAGAATATAAAAATCTATATTTTATATATAAAAATTCATAAAATATCAAATACATGTAAGAAATTGTTATACTGGCTACAAGCATATATAATTTGATAAGCCTCATTTCAACCTAAAATCTTAAGACCTTAGATAATAATTTTTTTTAATGGTTTATATTATTATCTAACACACCCCCTCGCGCAAGAGCCCTTTGGATTTGAAGCGTGAATATTGCACAAGCCTAATTTTTTGTTTGCCTTGTGTTTTTCTTAATTTCACCTGAAAGTGGTGGGCGGTGAGGATCGAGACATTGTGGTTACTGAAGCTCTAATATCATGATAAACGTTATTTCAACCCAAAATCTTAAGGCGTTAATGGTTTATATTATTCTCTAACATAATTTTTGGAGGGATAAACAAAAGTTGTACGATAACCACATATAATATATCGTAAAAGAAATAAACAAAGAAAAAATATATTCAAGTATCAGGTAACCATATACAATTCCTATATCAAGTATCCTCAACTAATCATATTTAAGAATTATAAGACATTTACCAACAACTCTTCCCATAAAAATGGATTTGTAAAGAATTAATATATCACATTCTCTTAATCTACAGTTCCGCAAATTGCTTCAGTCCTTAAAGCTAAATTTTGAAGTCACTATAGGAGAGTATACTACTAGCAAACAAAACTAGAAAAGTTTTTTAAAGGAGTTTCACATTTTTTTTAGACAAGACGAGACAACTTTGATTTTTTTTTTTAAATGCATGACCTGTCGATTTTCATGATCCAACCGCATCATCAATTTTCACCGGGATTTGACCATACGTGGCCAGTTCAATACCTGACTCAAATCGGTCCGATGGCCGACTCGTCAAGTTCCGAGTCAACTGACCGATTGAAGTCGGGTCTAATGACACTAATCTACACGACTCGTCTAAAAAAAATAAGGCAGAATAAGTTGACTTACCTTTTATAAATTCGTTAAAAAAATAATTTTAATCTTAGTAAATTTGAACATGTGATTGACTGTAAAGAGTCATTTGGGCTTCAGGTTCAGGTGTTGGGTGATAATTTTTTTAATGATTTATATTATTCTCTAACACATTCTCTCACGTAATAGTCATTTGGGCTTGAAACGTGGATATTGCGTAGGCTTAATTTTTTTTTTTTTGATTTTATCTTATGCTTATTTAATTCCACAAATGAGGTGGTGAGGATCGAACTCGTGACCTTATGATCAGTGAAGCTCTGATATCATGTAAAGAACCACTTCAGTTCAAAACTTAAGGTGTTGCGTGAAGGTCTTTTTAATGATTTATATTATTCTTCAATATTAACCTGAACCTAATTAGACACTGAGTCAATAAATTATCAATTCAACCAGTGTATTTGTTCAATCCGTTAAATTAATATTATATTTTGATATGCAATAAATAAAATAATTGTTACAAAATGAATAATAAATAGCAATGGAACCGTGGTAAATGGATTAATGTTTGACCCATAATGACATCCTCTTGGGGGACAGTGACCATTTTGCCACGCTGATAAACCTTTAGTTTATCTTGTTTTCATAGACTAAAATAATAAGAATTATCAAGTTAAATGAGTAAAAACTAGGGTTTTGATATAAAATACATGAACTAATTGATTTATGAATTAAATAATATTTATTTGCTATTTTGAAGGGATTTGAAGATGAAAGTAGTCACATTTGAAGATATGATAGATAGAGATCCAAACTAGAAGATTTGAAGATCTATCTAAAGAAAATCAAGATTATCAAGTTGTTGAAGAGGAGGCTTAAGCCTCCATTTCGAAGCTTAAGCCTCCTAATTATCCCAAAAAAGCAATTACCCACTACCTGAGGGCGCTTAAGCCCCCAAATTTGGGCTTAAGCGCGTTGCAAGAAGAAAATTCTGACTCGAAGAGCGCGCTTAAGCGCGCAACGTAAAAATCTCATGCACTGTTTTAGGGTGCTTAAGCGTGAATGACCAGGCTTAAGCGCCCCAGAAACCCAACTTAGGCTCATATGAAATAACCACTTAGGGCACAGATTCTTGGCCATTAAAAATGCAATTAGGGTCAGAATTAATAAGTTTTTCACATTCTTAGAGAGCTCTTGGTACTTGGAAGCATAGGGAACGCGGAGGATTCATCGGTTCATGTTCGTGAGCGGCGGAGGCGGATCAAAATGAAGCTTGCACTAGAGATATTGAAGATTCACCAATCAACTATGGAGTTTTGGGAAGCTTTTATATTTTCTTTCGTTCTTGATCTTACTATGTCCGACTAATTCTTTAAGTAGTTAGTGTTAGATGGAATTCAGTCAATTTATTATGCTTTGAACAATTCGTTATGTTAATTTTTCATTTTTTCATGAATGGAATTATCTGTTTTTAATGCTTTATATAAGCTTGAATCTTATATATTGATCTTAGGTAAATGTATGACAATATGAATGTTGGTGCGTGATCCATATCTGATAATTTCATCGTAAACGTTATGATTTTAGGGATAGACATAGGGTTTGCGTGATCTTTATGATTCTTGAATTTAATGCTTACTTTTTTGGGGAATAATCGGGAAACTAGGGTTCTTGCGAGATTGTAAAAGTTTAGGGTAACAAGGGATTGAGCCCTAATTACATAAGAAGGATTTGATTAGATTGATATTAATGACGATTAACGTAAGGAAGGAATTCAAACGTAATAGAGAGATTTAAGGGAATCGAAGCCCTAGCTACGTTCTTTTACTCAAATCTTTAAATTCTTGCGATTAATTAATTTTAATATTTTAAATTTCAAATTCAAATCCTGTTACCAATACAATTTCGATTGTCCAACTTAAGTTGCAATAATGAATTAGTGCTTGAGTATAATCCTCGTGGGAACGATCTCTTATTCAATCATTATATTACTTGTACGATCGGTGCACTTGCCGTGAGTCCCAACACACACCTGGCCAAAATAGTTACCAGACTGCCACACCAACAGTAAATTTTTCTAGAATGCCACGTGGCATAATTCGCTACAATGTGCAGCTAAATATGCTTGCAAATAATTCGCTGCACAGTGTAGCGAATTATGCCATGTCAGGGTGCACAGTCAGCAAAAATGACAAGTGTCAAGCAGACAGTAATTCGCTACACTGTGTAGCGAATTATGCTTGGATGACTACCTGCTTGACACGTGTTACTGTTGTTGACTGTGCAGCCTGACATGGCATAATTCGCTACACTGTGTAGCGAATTATTTGCAAGCATATTTCGCTGCACAGTGTAGCGAATTATGCCACGTGGCATTCTGAGAAAATTTACTGTTGGCGTGGCAGTCTGGTAAATATTTTGGCTAGGCGTGGCAAAATGGTCACTGTTCCTCCTCTTGGAGTTGAGAGAAAAAATAATAATCCTAAAACTTAATATAACTCCAAAATAAATTCAAATTATGCAAATATGTTTTATATCTCTTTCTTTTTCTAAATGGATCTCATTCACTTTTTGTGTATTGTATAAGATAATTTTTCTTATATAATATGAGAAACAATATCCTCATATTTATATACAATAAATAAAATAATTATTACAAAATGAATAATAAATAGCAATGGCATAGTGATAAATGGATTAATGTGTTACCCTAATATAACGTCTTGGGATTGAAAGAAAAAAAAGTATATCATAAAGACTAATATAGTTTTACAATAAATTAAAATTATAAAAATATATTTTTTCTAATCTTAAAACAACGTAGTTTTAGAATAACAGAAAATAACTTATATCCTGTGACTGAAAAAACATTAAATCACCAACAAAGCCCAGCACAGTTGGTAGATAGTTGAGTTCTTTAAGCATACTGACAGGGATTCGATACCTGGCCGTGTGTATGGAAAAAGCTTTATTGAGAGAGATTTACCCACTTAACATGATCTCCAGCCTCGAAAAGATTAGTCTTTCTCTGTCGGCTAGAGAGACCTTGAAAAAAAAAACATTAAATCCATCAAATAAATATATTAAAAAAAATTATAGGGTAAAAGATGCAACTATTTTTGAGGAAACGATATTTGTACTAAGTGAAAGTCCTGTGAAGTTAATTAATTACCAAATTTGTTCATAATCTTCATAAAAAATTAAGGAGAATTTTTTTCACTAGATAGACAGCTTTTTGACCAGTATAACTTTTTTTTAATAATTAATTATCAAATTGACCCTCTTTATAATCTATTTCAAAAATTTAACCTCTCTCCAGAAAACATAACACCAATCTGCCCCTGTTTGACCATTGACCATAAAGCCTACCCGGGTAATTTTTGAAAATTTTATCCTACCCGGGTAGAAAAAGAGATACCCGAGTATATTTCAAAATTATGAGAAATGGTTGAATTATTTACCCGGGTATGGAGGGAGCTACCCGGGTAAATTTCTGATTGCCAAATTCAACGACATGCACCTAGCCCGGGGCAATGGCATAGCACCTGACCCTCTTCCTCTCAATATTTCCCAGTCTATCTCTATTCCTTACCACCACCAAGCTCAACAAAGCTGCAACACCAGATCCAAGTGAATGTCCAACAAAAGTCAAAGTATAATCTAGATGCTTCTCTACCAACTCCCTCAAAACTTTACATTCAACTTCCAAACCCATTCAGCAGCCTTCAACAACCCATTGTGAACATAGCCCCCATCAAACTTTTTCTTCCCCAATCTATTGTCCAACAGAACTGCATAGTCACTCTCCTTTCCCAAATTTAGACCCCTAATGGCAAGAACTATATCAGCATGATCATGATCAAGATACAGTATATATGGTGGAGCCTTCCCTTTGGTATCTTCATATGTCATTTTGTGTATTAACCAATCAGGGTTAATCCCATAGCCCCCAGGAGGTGCCCGAATGGGGTAGCGAAGATCATCTTCATACAAAGCTAAAATATAGAGGTAAAGGCGAGGGATTGGCTCAAATTCTTCTGCAGTGGCAAAGCCCCAAGTCTGGTTATTCCCTTGTAAAAGAATAAGCTATTCCCTTGTAAAGTTTCACTTTTAATGGTTATTCCCTTGTAATTATTGGGGTACACTATGCCTTGCTTCTGCATGCTTTTTTTTCTTTTTTTCGAGTTTTCTCTTCTTTTGACGGGTTGTTTCTTCTCTGCCAAAATTTTCTGGTTTTATTTCAGATGATATGATTTTCTGTATATTGAAAAGGGTGACAGAATAAAGTGTTGCAGCTTGGATCTGTTGTTGCAGCTTTGTTGAGCTTGGTGGTGGTGAATAATAGAGATAGACTGGGAAATATTGAGAGGAAGAGGGTCAGGTGCTATGCCATTGCACGACTAAGTGTATGTCGTTGAATTTGGCAGTAAAAAATTTACCCGGGTAGCTTCCTCCCTACTCGGGTAAATAATTCAACCATTTTTTCAGAATTTTTAAATATACCCGGATATCCTCTTTTCTACCCGAGTAGGATAAAATTTTCAAAAAATACCTGGATAGGGAGGGAGGTACCCGGGTAGACTTTATGGTCAACGGTCAAACAGAGGCAGATTGATGTTATGTTTTCTGGAGAGGTTAAATTTATGAAATAATTTCTAAACAGGGTCAATTTAGTAATTAATTATTAAAAAAAGACTATAATGATCAAAAAGCCCTAGATAGACTGAATGCTTGGTATTAATTTTTTGTGATATTATCTGACAACAGCAGACAGTTTATTCAACAGTATTAGTTAACCACTTAACCGGTTATGCAGAGATAGATAATGACTCAAAATTTTAAGAGAAAAATGAGACCCGACACACTTTGACCCCCTTATATAGGACAGGTTGGTTTATCCAAAATTATAATCAAATTATCAAATTAAACGAGATAAATGGATTGACCCGACAGTCCCATTCATTTATCCATGTCTAAAAGTTATGTTTTGCTTGAGTAGAATAAGAAAGCATTAGAGCTATGATTACGGATGTTTGGTTTTTAAGAAAAATTATTTTTAATTTAAAAAGTTTTTAGAAATATATTGGTTAAATAGCTCTTGTAAATACAAAGTGTAAAATAAAAAAATGCTTATTAATCAATAAGAAAATGATTAAAAAATAAAATGGAAAGAAAGAAATATATAAATAATGCATATAGCAGTTCATAGGATAAAAAACAGAGATTAATAAAAATATTTAAAAATGTCATTATAACAAAATGCCAAATAAATCAATTTTATGAGAAAGAAGAAACTTAAAATATTATAAACGAAATTTCAATTATTTATAACAAGACATAAGTGTTCAAACAAATGAATTGTAATTTAAATTTTATTATTAGCATTCATTTTCTTAAGATTTTAACCGGAACTGGCGTATTGGATGTAAAAACATTGATGTTAATATAAATATCTATAACTAGTATTACTGAAAAGAATGTGTTACTTTTTAGTTGGAAAAAGACTAAAAGGAAAAATGCTAATTCAATTAAAAAATAAAGAACATTACAAGTTTTAAGATTTTAATAATGATTTATAAAGGTACATATTAATAAAAAATTACCAAAAATCAAATATAAATGAGGACAGTCTTATTAGAGTCAATTCAGAGAAGAAAATGTTATATTTCAGAGATTATGATTTATAATAAAGTCACATGAATGTTATAGAGGGGAGATATTTTGATTACCAAAAGTGTCCACTACCACCTTACTATCTATCAAATCATCATTGGATCAAAGAGAGAATGTTAAAAATTTTTTGAAGAGAGAGAAACTGTTGATTAGATAAATAATAAGGTGGTAGTAGAAACTTTTGATAATCAAAATATCGAGTGTTATAATGAAAAATGTAAGATTAGAAACGCAAAAAGATAATATAATCAGAGATGATAAAGTAAAATATATGAAAAGATGTTTGACTTAATTGTGGCATGTGTGAAGACAAAAAAGAGAGAGAGAGAGGAAAGAATAAGATGTTATGTTATGAAGATAAATGGAGGAGAGTGAGAGGGTAATTGAGTGGGCCACTACCACTCGCACCCCCATGCCATGCCATGCCATTGCAAATTGAAGTGGACAACATCACCCATTTCCAGATCCATTTTTATTCACCCAAGAAAATGAAAGACATAATTACGAAACAGATGCGAACTCCCACGTATAAAAGAAGAAGAAGGGGAAAAAATAAACTCATTAGTTAGAGAGAAGAGATAATATGAATGAGATTAATAGTTGCTAATAATTAAGACAGATTCAGATACATACGTGGCAGCTTAGGGTTCACCCCAACTCCTAAAAAAACCCCTCCCCTCCCCCCTTCCCCTATCACACTGCCAACAGCACACCAAACACAACACAACACAACACAACGCACCCTTCTAAGTGTTCTAATCTTCACAACTCTTCTTCCCTCACACAACACACACCAATTACATGGTCCCACCGAATCGGAGGCCATGAACGGCGGCGGCACCGCCACCTTCCGATCCATCCTCGACAAACCCCTCAACCAGCTCACCGAGGATGACATTTCCCAACTCACCCGCGAAGACTGTCGTAGATTCCTCAAAGAAAAAGGTCACCTCTCTCTCTCTCTCTCTCTCTCTCTTTTCTTTTCTTAAATTTAATAAATAAATTATATTTCCGTTTTTGTCCTCGTTCTGCTCCATGATTTCCGGCACCTGAAAACCTCCATTTTCTCCCCCAATGTTGTAAATGCATATTAAATATTATTGTTATATTTAAAATAATATTAATTGGTATGCGGATTATTTAAATAATAGTAATAATAAAAAAATATTTGAATGGAGAAGACACGTGTTCGTACAGGGATGCGCAGGCCTTCCTGGAACAAATCGCAGGCGATCCAGCAGGTCATTTCCCTCAAAGCTCTGCTCGAACCTGCCGACGACGATTCCCCTGCAACCGCCACCGCCACGCACCACCACGACCATGCCTCTCAGGTCAGTGTCTTTTTTTCTTTCTTTTTTTAAATATCGGTTGATGAGAAAACGAGAGGAAATGCCAATAATAGTGGTTACTGGATGATTGTAGGGGAATTTGAATGAAGCTCCGGCGGCGAAAGTCCTGGCTGCTGAAGAGCCCGGTATTCATGTCGCGGAGGAGCTTCAGAAATCTGGGTCGTCTGGGGAAAAACCTACGGAAACGAATGATACCAACGTTGTTAGCCCCAGGTTTGTTCTCATTTTTTGTCTCTTTATTTTTCCCTCCTAACTTAAAAAGTGAAAAACAATTCTTATCGTGCTTTTCCATACCCTTTTATGTGATGGGCACCTTTTTTTTTAAGCTTTTGGGGTGTGGAATCTCGTCCAAGTTTGTAGGATCTTTGGTGTTTCTTTTGATAATTTGTGGGAAAAAATAGTATGGTCATGCATATATTGAAGTTATAGTCATGAAACTGAGTGCTTTCTGTGGCCTTCTATAAAAAGATTGTACATGTTAGGTATGTTTCTGAGCTATATTAGAAGGGACGGATCTTCCTTGTCAGCTGATGTGGGAGTCATTTGAACTTTTGGATGTTTCTGGGGTGTATTGTGTGGGTTATTTCTTTAAGGAGAGGGATGAATGATTAGAGTGTGTTACCTTCCACGAGCATAATGGATTTCTACAGAACCACCCAATTGACAAATAGGAAGCAGATATATGCTATTGTCAAATCTAGACATCTCTATGACTTTAATATTATCGTTATTCTATGTTTGTAGTGTTGTGTTTGCGCTTTTATTAACTATCATATGACTAATTGTTGTTTTCGATTTTCCATTCATGATGGAACTTATACAACATTAGGACTAGATTTTAGTGCCATCAAAGTACTGACATAGACATTGCTTTAGATATCATGTTTGATGTGGAAGGAGGATTCATGGAGATTGATTATATGGCAAATATCAAACGGATGATGGAAAACTTTTTAGGTATAAAAATGAAATTGCTTCTTTTGAGTTAAACACCATCAATTTCTAGATTCAAAGAGTAACGACATTTCTGTCCATGAATTTGTGTTGGTCTCCATCATCCATGTCAAGGCTTGTTTTCTTATTCCTACCATCTAAACAAGGGAACCTATTTAGTTGAATGGTGGATGACCAATATCACGTGACTTCAACCATAAATATGGTAGGAAATCGTATGTCTTGTTGATACTGGATCTCAGGGAAATTTTGGTCTCAGTTGCAGTAGGTAGTAATTATACCTAGCTGAAGAGAAAGCTGGCGTGATTGCAGTAGTTAGGTGTTCTAGATTTACTAAAACGTCTTAATTTATTGATGTTTTAATTAAAAAGTGTACTTGTGCCATTCTTTATAAATAGGAGTCCCGGATAGTGGTAAAGTTTACAAAACTTTCGTTGTATAGCTACTTTCCATATGAAGAGAGTGATTCAGTAACTGAAAATGTCAAATAACTTAGATTCAATAAATTTTGCATAAAGTATACACGACTGACGGCAGGCCAATGTTCCTTTTATGTATCCCCCAATTCAAGTTCTTGACATAATTATTTATAAATGTGGTCACAGAGGGTGTGCAACTAGCGGGTCAGGTGGGCAAATGACAATTTTCTACTGTGGTAAGGTGAATGTCTATGACGGAGTCTCACCTGAAAAGGTAGGTAATGATGCTTCCGCTTGCATAAATGCATGGCCACAAATCCTATAAAATTTATCTTTCCAATGCGGCCATATTTGGATTTGCAGGCACGAACAATCATGCAGCTTGCAGCGAGTCCAGTCCAATTTCCTCAGGATGATCCTTTAAGTAAAAATGGAGCTGTTTGGACTTCTTTTTGCCACTTACCAACGGATAATGTCCTCATCCCTAGTGATACAACAATCCTTCAGGTTGCTCAAGCAGGTAACAGATGATTTGAAACATTGCTTAATTTTGCTTTGATGTATTAGTGCTCTGATGCGCAAGGGAACAACTTTTCTTCAAGTCTACTGCATCATTTTCTGGAATTTCTTCAAGGAATGCATTATTTCAGTGGATAAGCAGATCCATACTCAATTTATTACTTGAAGCTGGATATAACACCAAGTTTCCTTGCTTTGTTTTAATGGGGAAAAATCATGAAAAGGGGTTCAAGCTAACAGTTGTTTTGTATTATACTAATTCGTAGGCCATTTCATTGGGTTTTTCATACTATCGATTGTTCCTTTTCTGTGCAAGTGCAAAAATTATTGGACATGGGGACATTGTTTAGATGTCCAAATTCACTCTGAAATCTGAGTTTAGAATTATAGCCATGGAGTCCTTGTGCCTAGAAGATGGACAAGCTCAACATCTCTGACTTGTTTAAAATTATGATAACTTGAATTATTTTGGAACTAAAGATGCTAATATGCACGTATTACACCTTTGTGGTATTGGTAACTTCATAATTGTGGTTCCAAATTTGATTTTACAGATAAGATGGTGGAATATCCTCTGCAGTACAGGGAGAAAGGGAGCAAAGCTCGCGATGCAGGTAAAGATAATTAAGTGTTTGTAAATTTTGCAGCTTGCTAGAGCTTTACCTTGTTCTCATATTTGGCTGATAATTAAGTAAAATTGCTAGTAATCCACTGGGCTGAATTTGGACCCTAGCTACTTCCTTTTTTTGAATTTCTTTTAGTATGTCATCCTCTTTTCCTTTCTTTTGATTTTTCCTTGGCATCCCAGGTAAATGAATTTCCCTACTGATCTAAATTTCATTTTTGATAGAACACAATGGTGTCGGTTGATCCGTTTAGCCCACCCTACTTAGTGAGAAAAAGCTTTTGTTGTTGTCAAAGAGTTTTTAAGTTTACTGCTATTTTGTTACCTTAGTTTTTGGATGTCAGGTTCACATTGCAGTGTAAGAGCATTTTGTTTCTTTAACCCCCGTGCCGGCTGGTAAAATTGCTACCCCACCACCCAAAAAAAAAAGGATGGCTTCTATTAGAACAGTGGCATATTTCTAGATTGATTGTTAGATGGGTCATATGTGTACTTATAAATTGATCATGTACGTGTGGGTACTGGTACTTTTTCAATAAAAAAGATCTCGTACCTGTGCAAGATATATGTGGGTACTGGTACTCATACCCATGTCAGTTCATCAGAGATTGCCAACCATTTAAGTGTCTGTGCCATAGTAGTTAATTGCGCCGCAATAGTGCCGCGAGCCGCGCCGTATGGGCATTGCGGTGCCTCGCCGCAAGAAATCGCGCCGCGCCACAGCAGAACGCAATAACGGCCATTGTGATCGCATTTGCGGCCATATTGCTGTCATAAGGCAAAATGTCAATTTTATCCTAAATTTAAATGTGCAACAGATAAGATTTAAGGGTTTTTTAGTCTATTCGCGTCTGTCTCTGTCACTTTTGCTATCTCTTCCTTTAAAAAATGTTTATTTTTGTCATATATCTATTCTGCTATTTCTGCAACCGCAACTCGCTATAATGCTATAGCGTTTTTCGGGGTTGGCCGCGACATGTCGCAATCCGCATTTGATAACTATGGTCTGTGCAATGAGTACCAGCTTCACTTAAAACCTAGCTAAACAAACTTACTGTTTGTAATTCTAGAGGCAGTGAAATATGATAAGTTATTGTTGGTTTGAAGTACTATACTGGTATCAGTATATTCAACTTAGATTGCAAGTATCTCTAAGAGGTCTAGAGAATAATTGTTGTTAAATTTAATGTAAGAAGCTTCCGTACCTCAAATTCAGAGACCTAAGTATTGGTAATGTTTATTTGTGTTTCATAAGATGTAGAGGGTCAGGCAAGCAGAAAAGTGTCATTGCAGCGATATCGTGAAAAGAAAAAAGACAGGTATCTGCAGTGCTAAACTGTCATTTGTTTATTGTCATCAATTCTTACCCTTGTGTTACTAGCTTTTAGTTTTAGTGATAGCCTGCGGAATCATTTCTTATTCTAGCTTTTTGTGTTAGGGGACGATTGAAGGGCAGGAAATTGACTGGGATAAATTCATCTAACTTAGAGATGTATTTGAATCTTCCAGTGAAGGTCAATGCCTTGAATGGGAATTCAAGCCGTAGTAGCACTAGCTCTCCACCACAGCCTAGACTTCCTCTAGTTTCAAGTGGCTCAGCTGACAACCAGTTAAAAGTTTCCCTTCCCATTGATCTCAATGACAAAGGTCAGTTACAATCTTTTCTTCAACTGTTGAGTAACAAACAATAACCTGTATTTTTTTCTTTTTTCCTATCATGAATGTCATAATAAACCTTTCAAGTATATCAACCAGAGAATTGTGGTAAATAAAACAAATCAGATTGTCCTGCTTGCTGTATTGATATTTAGGGGTGCGAGAAGCATCTTAAATTGCGAACCATCTGACAAGCAGTGAGGGGATCTTTGTCTGCAGTGCTTATAAGCCTCTTTTGACTAGTTACAAGGGATGATATTTATGGCGGTGATGGTAAACCGAGATTTGATGAACCACTCAGCCTTAATCCTAGGTTACCAAACTATTGTACAATATACTCTATCACGAATTTATGCTATCTCAGTGTCTTTGCAGATGTTCAAGAATGCTAAAACTTGGAGAGTAGTAGATTATGCAGATTTGGGACTCGGATGATTGAAGAGATATGATCACGGTATAACTGAAGAGAAGAGACCATAGCCTCGAGGAGCCTATTGCAAGAATTGGGCTGCTTTTTAGACTGGTCAATTTTAGTAAACTTTCACTGCCGGGCAAATTTCTTCTGTTTAGGATAGTCGAGTGTCCCTCTTACCTGATCAATTTTGTAATATCATCTATGTAATTACATCCTTCGGGAATTTCTTGTTACTGAAGTTAAGGTTTTCTGAGTTAAAATGTAGAGCCAGGAGCAGCCATTTTCCCTGGAATTATATGATATGTAAATTCATTGTGCTGCCTCTTGTTAAATGTTAATAGCTTTTATGCAAGCCTAACTAGTCTCTTAATCTTTTCTTGTTTTTATTTACTCTATGGTTGTCGATGTTGATTCTATTTTAGTATGAATGAGTTCAGCAACAAGCCTTTGATGTTTCTTGTGACTGGGAAAAAATACTAGATAAATATATAGGTCTTAATTCCTAATTTAAAATGGTTTTTATTTTAGGAATGAAGTTCATCAGATGGATGACCCTCTGCCCTGACTATTAATATATGGGAAGAAGATAACCACTCATCCAATCTTATCACTTAATTTTCACGTTATTATATTATTATATCAGTTGAATTGAGACCTGTAAAAATGTAGCAAGTTATAATTGTCTATTTTTATGGGGAGAGATTATAGTTATTATTATTTTTTTAATTATTTTTTACTACAAATTTTAAATCGTTGATTTTTGTCAATCTAACGGTTATAATTTATTGAAAATTAATAATTAATTAATAAGTATGACTCAATAAATTATAATGGTTAGATTGACGAAAATTAACGGTTAAGATTTAGTAGTAAGAGATTATAATCTTCTCCATTTTTTTTTTTTTTTTTTTTTTTTTTTTTTGTCATGTGATATGTTGCCATTTGAAAATTTTCTCTGCCATTAAAAATTTGGATCAAGTTAACAAGAAACTCAAGCCATATCTGCAAGCACCCGGAAATAATCAATCCAATAAAACGACAATGTGGATAATTTTTCACGTTGGAAACGCCCACCACATGTACGCGTGACATCACGGAAGAGATGATGAAAATACGGAGCATACACCACAATAATACTATGTAGTTTTTTAGTTACTTAAATTTTATTTTATGTCTTTTATATATATATTCACCGGTTTCGTATAGAGAACAAATCACAGTAAGCTAGGCTTCTACAGGAGTGGTGGAAACTTGAAAGTTGTCATTCATGGCGATTGAGGTGAGTTCTTATCTCTCTCTCTATGTACAAACCAACTAATCTCAATCTAGTACTTTTTTTTATTAATGAAAAAAACTGTGACAGGCATGGTTCATGGACGATAGCAACGAAGATCCAAGGCTTCCTCACCATGGCAACCCTAATGAATTTGTTTCCATCGACCAATTAGCAGGTCATTGCTCTCTCTCTATATATATATATATAGTTTTACTTCGTTGTGACGTTGCAGAAAAATGGTGAGTTTTGCAGAATTGGGGCTCTTATACTGGAAGCTGAATCCAAATGATTATGAGAACGATGAAGAGTTGAGGAAGATTAGAGAAGCTAGGGGATACAATTACATGGTAATGTTGTATTAATTTTTTACTAATTTCATTTCGTTTTCTGTAATCAGAAGGTGCTTGAATTTTTGCTTTTTCATTAACGCTGATAGAAATATAAACCCGAGGAGAATATGAATTGGAAAAAGAAACTTGTTAGCATCTTGTTTTAGAGTTAAACTGGGAAACCTATGTCTTGTGATCTAAATTATTTTTATAAATATCCTTCAATTTTTGGGAAAAGCACCATTTTAAAGCTTTTGGACAAAAGAATTGCCCGGTTAAAACTGATTGGATAAGTTTTTTCAAAGTAATGCAGTCAAACATGTCGCCTATGCTGACGGGACTAGTCCCGTCACTGATGCTGACGGGACTCGTGCCACGTCAGCGCCACGTAGGCAATCCAATTACTGTAAATTTTTGGAAGATCATAACTTGTGACTCAGGTATCCAAATCAGATGATTTTTTTTTTGATTTCACATAACTTTTCGAGATCTACGCAATGATACCTCATTTGACATATTTTATCTCCCACAAACATAGTTTGAATTTGTAACAATTGTATCACAAACACAAGAGTGTTTATCCATAAGACTATGTTTGTGGGAGATAAAATATATCAAATGAGGTGTCATTGCGTAGATCTTGAAAAGTTATGTGAAATAAAAAAAAATCATCTGATTTGGATACCCGAGTCACAAGTTATGGTCTTCCGAAGCTTTACGGTAATTGGATTGTCTACGTGGCGCTGACGTGGCACGAGTCCCGTCAGTATCAGTGACGGGACTAGTCCCGTCAGCATAGGTGACATGTTTGACTGCATTACTTTGGAATGGGCAATTCTTTTGTCCAAAAACTTTAAAATGGTGCTTTAGCCTCAATTTTTTCATTACATTCATTCTACCATCGGGTTTGAATCCTGTAAAAGTAAAACTGCATACAAGGATTGTTTTTATTCCATCATCGTTAGTTGGGATTTAAGGGTGAGTGGTTTTCTTCTAGCATCAGATTTCGATGGAATTCACTAACTATAGTTATACTTAATTTTATGGAGGAGGAGCATGACATGCAATTTTGCATGCATATACGATTCCTGGGATAGGCTGTGCAGAACTTAGCAGCTTCAGTATATTACTCTCAGACTGACTCCATTTGTTAGTACTTGGTAGCATAATTGCTAGACTAAAACAAGTCCTTGCCTGTTTAGAGTTCTTTTGATTTCGAGGTTAATTTATGGGCTTTTAATCCTTTTTAGTTGAATTTTTTCTCTTTCAGATATTCTCATTAAATGAAGGCTAACGTGGCCATCTTTCAAATTTGCTTTTGTTTCCTAACCATTTGTTAGGAGTGTTCTGTGTTTTAGTAATAGCATTTCTTTGCATCTTGAATATTTCTCTGTTGTAGGATCTGCTTGATTTATGCCCAGAGAAAGTGGAAAATTATGAAGAGAAGTTGAAGAACTTCTATACTGAGCACATTCACCAGGATGAAGAGATTCGTTATTGTTTGGAAGGAAGTGGTTACTTTGATGTGCGAGACAAGGATGATCGCTGGATTCGCATTTGGATCAAGGCAGGTGATCTTATCATTTTACCTGCTGGAATCTACCATCGGTTCACTCTTGACACAAGTAATTATGTGAAGGTATGGGAGTTTCTTAACCACAACCATCAATTCTCTTGATTAAGGCTTCATTTTTGGAATGTAGAAGGGAGAAAATTATGCAGTTTTAAAATTTGTATAAATAGATCAAGATTCAAGGATCTTCTTGTTTGATTAATCATTGTTTTGTTGGGTGCATACCTATGTGCTTGTGTGCAGTTAATGAGGCTGTTTATGGGCGAGCCAGTGTGGACAGCATATAACCGACCACAGGAAGATCACCCTGCTAGACAGGAATATATTAAGACCTTGACTGATAAAATTGGAGTGCCGCTTGCAGCTCATTAGGACCCTTAAAATATAAAAGTACATCTTTTCATAGATGTTACAAGTTAAGGTTTGTGATAGAAAATGTTGGTATATTATGTATAATAGTTTTACCCAATAGAAGCCCTGTCTATGAAACCTAAAACAGACCAAGCATGAGATGAAGCTGTCTTAAATAAGTTTAAAAGCATATACTATCTGTATACTTATTACTAGTTTTTGTCTATGTGAAACTCCTATTATGTCAGGATTTGGATCCTCTCCTCGAAAAAGTGGTTATAATTATATGTTTATATTATGGGTAAAGTGTGTATCATTTTAAAAGATGTAAAGTTGTGTCATTTTAAGAGAGAGAAAGAGATAGATAAAGGAGGAGAAAAAGTTATAGATAAAGGAGGAGAAAAAGTTGACAAAAAAATAAAAATGTGAATCCGCTTCTTTGTGAAAATGAAATGATATAAATTGTGGTGGGATTCATAACACGTTAATGTTAGGAATTATCATGATAGTACTTTGAGGTTACACTTATAAGGTAGTTGATTTTGGTTTGGTTTCCTTATGACCTCGTGATATGTGGGAGGAGGCAACCTCGTTGGGAGCACCCGCTGCACCATTGTCCTGGCTTAAAATGAATATAAGGAAGAGATTAGAAGGGAATTTAAAAAAGAAAAAGAAAAAAAAAAAGAAGGATTTAAATGAAATTATATTTTTTTCATTTTGAATAAAGAACTGCCCAATGAGATAATGGTCTTGGAGCGCTTTAAAAAAATCCCCTCGTCGGAGTTATGCAATGTACTTGAAGTACGCATCGTGTTGGTCCATCTTGCAACATGAGAAACAGGAAATGATGCTTATAAGACATTAAACAATAAATTGATTTGACTACTGTAATAAATTTTTTATATTCTTTTGGTCAAATTAAGCTGTTTGTTCCAATAGTTTTGTTGGGTAATCATACACATCAAATGTGCATATTCATAATGGATCAGTTGTTGGCCGGTCCTACATAGTGTTAATGTGAAAGTAAAGGTCCTATGAGTATGTGGGGCTTTTAGCCCCATGTAACTCCCAAAAAAAAAAAAAGGTCCTATGAGTACTATTACTGGTTCGGGTCTAAATTGTAAGTCTCACCAAGTTTTAAACGGACTAACTGTGCTTTTTTAGTATAGCTTGTAGGAATACGGTCATGATTGTTGTCAGACTAAAAAATTGAAAGCTTGTTATCAAAAAATAAAAAATAAAAAAAATTGAAAGCTTTTAAAATTTAAACCATTAGGACGGGTTCACCGGTTCAGTAGTTAAGGATTTTGATAATTTATATTAGGTTCGAATTTTAGTGTTATTATTGTATTCAAAAAATTTAAATTTTTTTACTTTATCGTGGGAATTATTATTAGATAAATCGGAGACTAATTTGATAGAAAAATCGGAGACTAATTTGATAGAAAAATCGGAGACTCAAATTGCTTCAGACTTGAGTAATAATAAAAAGTACTAAAACATATTGGCTGAAAGGATCACATGCTAGAAAGCATCTAATTGTATGTTTAATCTTAAATGAGTTCCATTATTTTTCATTTAACACATTTTTGCTCCTCTCATTACAAAAAAATAAATACATAAAATAAAAATGGGATAGGATATATTTACCATCAATTAAGTTTATCACTTCTTATCATCAAATTTTAACCGTTGATTTTCGTTAACCTGACAGTTATAATTTATTGAAAAATTAATAATTAATTAATCAGTGGAATCCAATAAATTATAACCGTCAAATTGAGAAAAATCAACTGTTAAGATTTGGTGGTAAATAGTGATAAACTTAATTAGTGATAAGTGGATCTCTCCCCATATACAATATTTTATTTCATTCTTTTTTCTCTCTAAGCATAACAAATGAATTTTAATAGGGTTAGCAAAGAACCGAACCATCTTAATAGTAATTCGAGGGTTCTTAATTTAACCAGTAAACTTGATTCATGAATTAAATAAGCTGAACTTAAACAAAGCATTGCTCGTGTGTGTGTTCATTTGGTTTATATTGTTTTGTTGTAATATTTCATTCATGTGATTCAAATTAACGAACCAAATATAATATCACTTATGCGACGGTGTATTTAAGAACCATCAAATGTCAACTAAAAAGAACGAGTATAAACAGTAAAGTCTCCGTTAGGTTTTCTTTTTTCTGAAATTTTATAAAGTTGTTTTTAGAATTATTATACAAAATCAAAATATACAAAGAAAAACTTATTTGATTAACTTTATTTTGGAATAAGTTTGGAAAGGTTATTGATATTCCGGTGACAATAATGATGGTAGCAGAGGGGCAACCATATTTTTTGTGCAGGCATAAATTGAAGTGAGAATAAAAAATCCATGAAAATAGAAGGAAAAAAAATCTACCAAAATGTGTTTTTTAAATAAATAATTTATGATGAATGAGTTTTCAACATAATTATATAAATCAAATAATCAAACATTTTTGCTTTTTGTTTAGTGATCATACATAAAAAGAAGGCGCTACTAAAATATCCAAAATTCCTTATCAATATAATCGGAAGTTCCTTGTAGCATATTCTCAACCAGAAGGTCCTACCTTGCATTAAGAGCACCATATCAGATGACAATGAAATGTTACAAGACCAAAAAAAATAAAAAAATCGAGATAATATATCTTAGGTTAGCCATCACAAATGTAGCAGCATCCACCCAAATTTTAGAATGAAGAGACCCATTTGCATCATCCATGGGTGTCTATTAGTGGACATTATTTAATGCCATTTTTTTGTTTGGTTTAAATAATTATAAATATAAATATATAAAATGATAGTAGATCAGTTGAAGCATAAAAGTTGAACAGATAGGGGTAAAAGTATATGTTCAATTTTTCATAGTATCATTCTTGGAAGGACTTTGAAGTCTTAATCCTAAATCTACCATGAACAAGATCCGTGAAAGATATACGTGGTTTATAAAAAAATAATAATTATAGGTATTAGTGAAGAAAAATAAATAAAAAAATGAGGTAGGTATCTTGTTGAGCGGTCATTGAAGGCTGAGGCTCAGTCTGTGCTCCAATGGCTGCATTCTCTGTGACTGCCACCATTTCACCTTCTCCTTCTCCATGCCTTCATCGACGACGTCGTTTTTTCACCCTTTCATCTTCAACCCATCCGCACGTACTTCATTCCCAATCTATCATATTGTCTACTTATCATTATTTTTCTGCATTTCGGGAAACACATAATAATGACAAAATCCTTTATTCGTGAATTCATGGACTATACGGCTTCAAAATTCTATTTTTTTCCCCCTTTCTTTGATTTTTCTGGAGTTTAGTTTAGACCCCTGCTTTATGGGATTTTCTTCCTTAAATTTGCTCTTTTTTTAGCTCCATGGTTATACGGAGTATGCTTTAAAACGCTATCTTTCACTATTTTAGGGTGCACTGCTTCAAAATCGGAAAATTGGGATTTTCAGGATGCAGGGGCTCAGACCCTTTTCTTTCAATTGGAGGAGGATGTAATATTCCAGAATTCACTGTTGTCCTTGTATTTAATTTACTAACTTTGCTTGCTTTTATAGTGATTATTCAACTTGGTATCAATTTGGTTTTCTTTTTCTTTTTTCTTTTTTTCTTTCTTTTCAATTTGTAGCCTTGTAGGGTATGCTTGATTGGAGTGAAAATGGGCAAGTGGAAAATGTTAATGTATCTAAATTTAATAGTTCCCTAATAAGTTACCATTTTCCACCTTACTATTTTCGCTCCTATTACCAATTTTAGTCCCTTATAGTGTTGTGTTATAATATACTCGTATTGCTGAAGCTTTCAATAGTAAATTGGCGTGTTTGAATCTAAAAACAGCAGAACTTTAATGTGTGCAGTCAAGCAAGATGCCGATGCCAATGAAGCAATGAAATGTACTGCCGAAACTGATAGCCTGATAGGTGTGCTGGGTGAAGCAGATTCTCACCAAGTAAGAATAGGGGCGGTTTTTTCAATTTGTTTCTCACCCTTCCATTTTATGTTGTCTTTTCTTGCTGTGCTGTGATTTTGTTTTTGTGTGAGTGTACATTTTGGTACTCTAAAAATACACGTGAAATCACAGCGGTCCTCCATTTTTAGATGCATCAAATCGGTCAGTGAAAGATATACATGACATCCGATAGGTTCTTTAATGTCACATTTTTGGCCAGATTGATCCTTGAAGGATGAGATTGATGTTATAAAATCTTTGATTTGAAGGGCCAAATTTGATATAAGTGGAGGACTAATGTGATGTAGCCTATATCTTTAAAGAACCAAAATGGGTGTTTACTCTTAGTTTTCGCCCTGGATGATGGATATAATCCATGATTACACAAATTTATGCTTCCTTTGTCTTGTTTAGAATTCATGCAATACTAGGTAGTTTAGATACTAATTTGGCTATTCCAAGTAGGATGGAAGTAAAACTTTTCTCAAGGTACGTGACAGAAGTATTGAAGGATGGTTGCAATTTGCTGAAAGAGTCTCTGGTGAATGGGATGGATTTGGTGCGGACTTCAGTAATGAAGGGAAGGCAATTGAACTGCCACAGTCGGTGGTGCCTGAAGCATACCGAGAGTGGGAGGTTAAAGTATTTGATTGGCAGACTCAATGCCCCACCCTTGCTGAACCAGAGGATCATGTTCTTGAATACAAGTCCATTCAGTTACTTCCCACTGTTGGATGTGAGGCGGATGCTGCAACACGGTACAGTGTGGATGAGAGGAAAGTGGGAAGGGAAAATAATGCAGTTACTGCCTTTGCTTATCAGTCCAGTGGCTCTTACGTTGCTATCTGGCAAAAGGAGGACAACTTGTTAGAGTTGGAGTACTGCTTGATCAGTCCTCAAGATTTTGAATCTCGGGTTAGGATTATTCAGTTTATCCATGTATTAAGCAATACAAAGATGGTGCTACAGAATATTAGAGTATTTCGTGAGCACTGGTATGGGCCATTCAAAAATGGTGAACAACTAGGAGGTTGTGCTATCCGTGATTCTGCCTTTGCTTCTACCGCACCCATGACTGCTTCAGAAGTTGTTGGTATCTGGCAGGGATCTAAAGCTGTCGCCACATTTGGCACTCCAAACACTGTGAGTGCAAGTATCTCTGTTACACTTCTGTTTTTCATGCCTGGATTTTTCTTGTTTTGTTGGCTTAATTGGCATGTTCCTTGTATTTAACTCCAGGAGATGTTTCAAGAGCTTCTAGATGACAAAGTGGAGAATTCTGTCAGAGATGGAGACAACAACATATTACTTCCTAAGCAACTGTGGTGTTCGCTTAAACAAAGCAAGGATGGTGAAACTCTAAGTGAAGTGGGATGGCTTTTAGATCATGGGCAGGCAATCACATCAAGTTGCCTATTCTCAAGCACTGCAAAGCTGAAGGCAAGTTACAAATTAAGTTATATAGGTTTTTTTTTTTTTTTTTTTTGATAACATATATAGGTTTTTACTAATTATAGATATAGATTGACATGGAGGATCCTCAGGGATCCAAATCTTCACTCACATTTAGGAAAAACAGGTACAAAATATTTAAATTTCAGTTAACTTCAATGTGTGTGTCTTTCGCTCCTTCCAGACTCCTGAAATTAAGAGCAGGGGGTCCATATTTGAGTGTAGAAGCACCAAGGCTCGTTTGTGTTTTTATGTTAATCTAATAAAACCTAGTGGCAAGTCACACAAACCTATTTGCTGTAAGCAAAAAATAATGAAGAGAAAAAATTTCGGAGACAATGATGGAATAATATTAGATTAGTATGACTCTTCCAATCTTTCATTTTATGTCTCAGTGCGGCTTCTTATGATTGTTGCTGGATGCACATCCTTAAAAGAACAGCACTTGGCACCGTCTGAAACCGAAAACAAAATGGATATGAACGGTTTAGCAAAAAAGACAAAAATGCGAAAGATGTCACTAGAACAGCAGTATTGACTTAGGGGAAAAAAGATAACTCTTCTTTGGGAGCTGAACACTCTTTTATTGTGTCAATATAAGTAGTTCATAATTGAAAGTGTACAAGCAGCTGTTTAGCTTATTATTTTACATTTCAGCCTGAGATGTTTAAAAAATATGCCTTTTTCTGTTTGTTGTCTGATTCCAATCAAGTTTTTTTTTTGTTAACCATTTAAACCAAGTATTTCTTCTAACATAACCATGCTTTTCTTTGGCAGGAAATATCAATAGCTCTAGAAACTAGAGCCTTGGAATATGTATAGCCATAGTGACAATCCACTCTGATCAAAATTTACTTGTTTGATCAAATAATAACCAAATAGGCAGAAAGAGTGGTAAGACTACTCATTACTTGTAAGGCTATTTATCATTATTTTAAGCTTATCATTCTTATTACTTGTTTGGTTATGGTAAGATTAATTTAAAATTAATGGCAAGTATATATATGTTTTTTTTCAACCTTTGATTCTAAATTAATCCAATAATAATCAAATAGGTAATAAGAGTGGTAAGACTAAAATGATGGTAATAATTGCTATATATATATATAAATATATATATGAGGTAGGAGAGAGAAAAGGTTGAGGAGAGAGGAGAGAGAAAACAAAAATTTTGGTCTAGATGTCAATTTCTAAGTGGAAGGAGCATGGTGGTCTCGAACTATATTAAAAAAATTTCTCTATAGTATGAGAGGAGCATTTTTTTTTTTTTCCTGCAGATATAATCGATCGACTGGGCTCCGTTGGTTTTAAAAAAAATGTTGACACGGAAATCGAATTTTCAGGAGAGGAATCTTGTTACTGCATCGTGGGACTTATTTATTCCATATATATATATATATATACATGTGTGTGTTTTCATGCGTTGAAATTTATAAATAATGTTTGATATATATAAGGGGAGTTGATGTCAAGTGTGGTGACATTTGTGTGTTTTCATGCTTCGAAATTTATAAATAATATTTGTTACGTATATATGAAGGGGAGTTGATGTCAAGTGTGGTGATATTTGTGTGTTTTCATGCTTTGAAATTTACAAATAATGTTTGTTGCTTATTCAAGTTTTTATCCAAGCCAGCTATCAAGTCTTACACGCATCACCACCGTCCTAGAGAGGAAAATTGTTTTGGAAAAAATTATTCTTATGCTAGATGTGATAACTTTCTTTCTTACACATCTTTCGATAATTGTGTCATTTTTTTTTTTTATTTTTTTTATTTTTCAGATGGTGGAGTCCACAAATTTGTCTCTATAACATAAGATAATTTATCTGCTTTAACATGAGATTAATAAAACTCAATTGTTTTAATACTATGGAAAATACCGGTACTCTCTTTTTCCAAAAACAGAAAATTTTCTTATCATTTTAATTCTCGGTACTCTAGTGAGAATACTTATAGTTTATTCTTAAAAAAAAATAAAATTCTCCTGCATATAAATCGATTTTCGTATTACTTTTTTATATATATATATAGATGAGTTTTATACATAATTGTATCTATAACAGTGGAGAAAAGATTTCATGAAATTAATAAAGTCTTTTATTTATTTTCGGCATACTTATTCAATGATTTCATCCGGCTAATTATTCTGCATATTCTTAGTCGATCATATCTGGGCTGTAAAATCTTAATATAAATCTTTCCTTCACGAAATTTAAATTTAGAGTAAAGCTCCTTTTGAGTCGCTAACAAAAAAAACACGATTTTCACTTTTGTCCGTTTATAAAAAAACCTATATTAGTCTTTTTTTTAGAGATTTAATTAGATTTTCATTGAATTTATGAAGGATCACATATTCAAAGAACTGAAATTGTAGAGAGATCAAAAATTAACTTTTTTTGTAAGGGACGAAATTGAAAATCGTATTTTTTGTTAAGGACCTAAAATGGACTTTACTCTTAAATTTAACATCTGGTCTTGTTTTTAGTTTTTCTTTTCTTTATAAAGAGAACTTTAGTCAAATTTGTTTTTATAAAAAAATTATAAATTTTTTTATAATAAATAATAAAAAGCTAAAAATTAAAAACTCTGAGATTTTGAGACATTTGTGTTTTCGTGCATGTGATATTAATATTAAGTATTTAGAATTCATGACTTAATTTGTGTGGTACGACAGCTTACTATTAATAAACAGGATGCTTTTTTTTTTTCATCACAAAAAAAAAAAAACAGGATGCAAAAAAGGCAAGCGTACAGTAATTGGGTAGAGTTTTCTTCTACGGTGTTTTTATAAGTTTTTTTTGGTTGAAATGCTGAAAAAATAAGATGTTTGATATGAGTTAAAAGTAAAAAAAATCCTAGAATATTTTTTCCCCATTATTTTCATTTTTCACTAATCTCATTTTATTTATGGTATTATTTTTTTCCACCAACTGAGAAACACATCTTCATAATTTGAGACAGAAAAGCTCTTATACAATATATCAGCAGATGTGTAAAAATGAATAATTTTTTTTTTGATATCCAACAAATGAATAATTTTATTATTTCAATTTAGATTCCCATCAATATAAAAAAAAATTCCATCATATTCCCAAAAGAAAAATTTCCTGATAAAAAAAAACTACTCTACCAAATGTCCCCTTACTGATTTTTCATTGATAAGTCACTTATAAACATCCACCTTATTGTAATAAAATAAAATAATCATTTTTTGGTTATTTTTTCTGCGAATAATGTAGATAAGTTATCAATATTGAGTCCTAAACGATGTCATTTTTGGATGAAAATTAAGGTACTTTTATAATTATAATTTATTTCAAGGTCACAATAGTCTTTCTCATTATGACTTTCTCATTATAATTTTTTAATTTTTCAATTCAAAATAATGTCATTTTAAAAATAAATGTAAATAGGTTATCAACATTTCACTGTTGAAACCTCACGTTTTAGAGTGAAATATTTTCTTATTTTATTTTGTTTCCTTCATCGGAGATGTGACTTTACCTTTGAAAAATATCTTTCCTTTTTTTTAAAATATTTTTCTAATATAGTTAACTTTATTATTTTTTAGCTGCCCATTCAACATACTGTTCATATTTGTTATTTATTGGTTTTTTTTTTTATCAAATTCTTATTTTGATCTGTTTTCAAACCTTAAATTGTTATTTTTTTAGTCAGAGTGTTTTTAAAATTTTAAATGAGATTATATATTATATATAAACCCATAAACTAATTATTAAATTTACACTTATATATTTAATTATAGTGTTCTTCTTTTAGTGGTTTAATCTCTTAACTTTTTCAAAAAAACAAATTATATACACATTAAAAGCGATATTTTAGGTTTTTATTTTTTATTTTTAGCTGATACATATTTATTAATAATTATAACGATATTATTTTATTTTCATTTTATTTCATTATTTTAAGATTTTATAAAAAAAATTAAAAGGGAAAACAATAAAATCTTATTTTTATTTCCCCCACTTCATTTTCCCCACTTCTTCTTGTCCCTTTCTTTTTTACTTTTATTTATTTATATATACATATATTTTTATTTCATTTTATTTTATTTTATTATTTTATTTGTGTATTTTTATTTATTTTTTTATTTTTTATTTTTTTTTTACTTTTTTTCAACCGTTTTGTATCTTTCATGTGGGTTTATCTACCACCGACTCCAATTAATTAGGATAAAGGTGTTGTTGATGTTGATGTTGATGATAAAAAAAATTAAAAGGGAAAACAATAAAATCTTATTTTCGGTAACGATATTAAATAAAAAAAGAAAAACGAAAACGAAAACAAACCAAACCTTAGCTAAATTTCCAACGGGGAGAAGGGTATTATGGTAAAGGTGGTGTAATTGAGGGTTTTATAAATCGCGTGGCCTCTAAGCACGCGGTGCAGAAATTCGATCGAGGTACCCTCAAACCAAATATCATGACTGTCTCCGACAAGGTATTCCTCGAACTTCCTCGTTTGTTTCTCGTTTAATTCTGTTTCTTTTTTAATTTTTATTCATTCAGTAAATTCTAATTTTTGTTTTTTTTTTTCTTAAAAAAAGTACTTCCTGGCTTAGCTCTGTTTCTATAATTTATTCCAGATAGCTGCGTAGATTTCGCTATGAATAATTATGTTGATGATTGTAGCCTGAGCTAATTGAAGTCAACTTTGATCATTTCTGTGTTTGTGTTGATATTTTTAAGATTCTTTGAGAAATTATTTATTTTTTAGTGATTTGTTACCAAGAAATTTATGGTAAGAGCAGGCAACATGTGATTTGGCTACCAAGAAACATACCAAAAATATGTATTTTTGGTTTTATAGGACTCTTTCCGAGCCTGGGTACTATGTTAGCCTATTATATGATCAAAATCTGAATCTTTACTCTTTACGACTCAGGAGAGACAGAACATATTATTACTCACCTTTTCTGAAGTGATGAACTATTGATATTTAAAAAATAATGGGTTGGGATATTGGTTGCAAGAGTTGGATGCTAACTGTCATTGTTCCTACTCCTGGAGAACTTGTTTTCTTTGTCTAAATATCCTATTGCAAGTGTCTCTAAATTGAAGATTCCTTGTAAGTTGTTATGGCAGTAGTATGATGATACTTTCAATGCCAATTTTTATTTTTTTTGAAACAGTTTTTTTTGCTTTCCAAATTATAGTACTTTCTTAATCTTGTTTATGTTGATCGTGTGCTTGAATTATCTATTCAGTTGCATATGTAGTGCTACTGCTGCTTATGAGTTCCTCATTCAGAGTCACACAGTAAGAGGAATTATTTTTCTCATGGAATTTCTCACAGGATCCCCGAGAGGAAGTCCTTCAAGCATGGTACATGGATGATAGTGATGAAGATCAAAGACTTCCCCATCACAAAGAACCCAAGGAGTTTGTCTCATTGGACCAACTTGCTGGTAAGCTTCTTGCTGCACGTGTTCCTTATGTTTATGTGCAGATTGAGGGGTTTACACTCACATCTGGTCTTTGGATCACATTAACATTGCAGAACTTGGAGTCCTTAGCTGGAGATTAGACGCTGATAATCATGAAACAGATCCGGAGCTGAAAAAGATTCGTGAAGAACGTGGTTACAGCTACATGGTTTGTAATACTAATGTATAATTATTAATTGTTTAGAATTGACTTACCCTTACTCAAAATAATTAAATATATGTAGAGAAAAATGAATTTACGCTGAGAGTACAACTATGTTTAATTATGTTTAACATTGGGCGCTATATATGGGAAATTTAATTTAAAAATATCTGCATAATGGCATTCTGGCAATGTTTATGCTTGTTAAACAATTTGACCTGAGGCTTATTTTCCACCAACAGGATGTTTGTGAGGTCTGCCCAGAAAAGTTGCCAAATTATGAAGAGAAGATCAAAAACTTCTTTGAAGAGCATCTTCACACTGATGAGGAGATCCGCTATTGTGTTGCTGGAAGTGGTATTAACAATTTTTTTGCTTTACTTTGATTTCCTCGCTGTGTTGCCTACCCTCTTAAATTGCTGAATATTTCCTGTTTTTCTTTAGGCTATTTTGATGTCAGGGATCACAATGATGCTTGGATTCGTGTATGGGTGAAGAAAGGAGGAATGATCATCTTACCAGCTGGAATTTATCATCGCTTTACACTAGATGAGAGCAACTACATTAAGGTATTGATTGCATATTTACAAATAGTAGCCGTACTAAACTACTACAAATAGAAAAGCATTATGTCCCTCAACTTATCCTGTTCCTCTGTCCCATTTTTGGTATCTTGAAGTCTTGAACTTGGTTCTCAGAATACTTTACTACATTGCCCTTAGCTTTTTCTGTAAGGCTTTTTGTGAGTCTGATTGATCTCTCTTGTAGAAAGAAGCATGCGATTCCTAAACTTTTTGTTAGTTGTATTTTTGTAGGTATGTTAAGATGAAGGTGTAACTTGAGATATGACATCTTGCAAGCTTATTTTTGTTATTTTTTTCAGCAATTGATGTGCTTTTTCAAGTTTTCTTTTTATATTAACTTGTGCTGAGATTAGTCTTCCTTTCTTCTAAGTGCTTCTTTTATGATTATAAATATGCAGGCTCTACGACTTTTTGTTGGTGAACCAGTTTGGACTCCATACAATCGCCCACATGATCATCTCCCTGCAAGGTATGAATTTAATTAGTTTAGTAGCCTGTAGGACAATCAGAGGCTTTTTACCAAACCTCATTGTGATTTCAATACGCAGAGAACAATATATCAAGGCTTTTGTGGAAAAGGATGTAGCCAGCCATACTGTTGATGCTTCTGCCTGATCATAGTATAGGGATGAAAAGGACTAAGGCTTTGCCGCTAAAAGTAAGGTTTGAACAAAATAATGGTCTCTCTAATTAAAGAGGCCCCATCTTTGTATGTTATGGTTTGAGTAGCCTTGATGTTGTACACACACCAATTGTCTTTGTTGGGCCCGGTCGCTGTATAAAGACTGCATTTACAAATATTATGACCAGAACTTGTGAAAGGATATATTATATATAATGTTAATGTATTATCATGTGCTTCTTTGGCTGCATTGGAATTTTACGAGATAAAAGTTTAAGCAGGAGCATCTAAATAACACGAGAGCTTGATAAAAATCCAAATGCAGCACGTGCGTCTTCGCATGCAACGTGTTCTGTATACACACACACACGTGACTAATCACAACAGATAGCACTTTCTGTTAGAGAATTAGTTTTAGTTTGGTATTCTTTTCCCGCCATTTCTCTCTTTAAGTATGTATTCTTGGCTCTCCTATATATTTGGAGCTTCGTTGTAATTCATTATTCATTCAAGAAATAACACTTCAATTTTCTCCCTCAAGCATGATCGTTCTTCTCTTCTGATATGGTATCAGAGCTCAATCAAGAGCCTTGGTACTTTGCCTCTATGAATTGCTTCTTTCTTTAGCTTCAATGGCGGATCTCAACGATGTTTTAGACTTTCACACAAATCCTTCTAACCCTCTCTACCTACCTCCCAACGAGAATCCTTCGTTGGTTCTAGTCTTGCCTCCTTTGACAGGAAACAACTACCATACTTGGGCGAGAGGAATGACAATAGCACTGTTTTCAAAGAATAAGATTAGATTCATTGATGGATCCATTATTTGTCCAAAAGATGATGATGCAACTTTCGCTCAATGGCAGAGGTGTAACACGATGGTAATGGCTTGGATTCATAGATCCATTTCTGACTCAATTGAGAAGTCCATCCTATGGATTGAATGTGCTCGTGGTGCTGATCTACGAGATCGTTTTTCTCAATTCGATGTCTTCCGCGTATCTGATCTTCAAGAAGGAATTTACAAAGTCCATCAAAGAGATCAAACTGTAACTGAATTCTTCACTCAACTCAAGACTAAATGGGATGAGTTGGAGAATCTCAAACATCTTCCAACTAGTGAATGCTTTTCTCCCTGTGCTTGCGGATTGATGATGAAGATGAGAGATTATCGTGACAGATGTCACATGATCTACTTTAGTAGATGTCCTTTTTGTACCAGAATTTCATGTAAACTTACTTCCTGTCACTAAACTAGTTAATTCTCTTGACTGTGTCTTTAACTTGCAGTGGTTCTTTTTGTTTCATTAAACAGACCGAATCCCAAGTGACGATTAGTTCTGTTGAGCAAAAGAATTCTCGACTGTGTCCTAACTTGCAGTGGTTCTTTTTGTTTCATTAAACAAACCCAATCCCAAGTGACGATTGGTTTTGTTGAGCAAAAGAATGGCCTATATGTGATAGTTCATAATAAAGGAGCAACTCAGAGTCATGTTGTCCAGAGATCTTATGAGTGTAGTTCGAATAAGCCATTTATTGTATCAGGGAGTTCTTCCTTGTGGCATAGACGTCTAGGCCATTTATCAGATGATTTTTACTCAAGATGTCATCACAGTTTCCCTTCGTTAGTTCAAATCATGTACAACCGTGTGACGCATGTCATTTAGCTAAACAAAAGTTACTTCCCTTTACTTCTAGCCAAAATAAAAGTGCAAATGTGTTTGATATTGTTCATGCAGACATACGGGGTCCATTTGGTACTCAATCTTTACATGGTCACAGATATTTCTCAACTTTAGTTGATGATTTTTCATATTTCACATGGCTTGTCTTAATGAAAAGTAAAGGAGAAACAAGAATGCACATTCAACATTTCTTTGCCTTTGTTGAAAATCAGCATCACACCACAATCAAAGTGTTTCGTAGTGTTAATGGAAGTGAATTTCATATGAAAGATTTTCTCCCTGCAAAATGGGGTAGTTCACCAAACTAGTTGCATGGAAACGCCTCAACAAAATGCTACTGTCGAAAGAAAACATCAACATTTACTTAGTGTTGCACATGTCATGTCATTTCAAGCAGTGTTGCCTATCACACTATGGTCTTATGCAATGACACACGCTACCCATCTTATCAATCAAACGTGTTCTCCAGTGACGAATGATAAAACCCCATACAAACTACTACATGGAAAAAACCGCATTTTGATACATCTTAAAGGTCTTTGGAAGTCTATGTTATGCTTCAACCCTCCTTTCTAACTGCACAAAATTCTCACCAAGGGCTCGAAAGGCTGTCTTTCTTGGATACAAGGAAGGAACTAAGGTAGTGTTTGGTAGAAGATTTATTTTGGGATTGATGAGAAAATATAACGTTTGGTTCAGGTTTTTGAAAAAAATACTAGGCAAATAGGATAGATGGGGAAATGACTTTTGTGTTGATTTTTGGATGAAATTCACTGTTACAGAATACCACTTGAGATGTGGTATTTTGAGATAACTGGGGAAGTGAAAAAACAGGTGCGAAGTTTCTCCCGAACATAGATTTTGCAAGTTTAAATAAATTTTCCTGGTAATATTTCGGTCAACCAAACAACTTTTTTTACATTTTCCTACTAAACTCACTTTCCAATCATTTCCCTAGTAATTACATTTCCTAGTATTCAAAAAATTTCTCCTCAACCAAACGTTTAGGTTTCTACTATGTGAGCTCTCTTCCCATGCCATTTTTGTATGTATCTCGGAACGTTGTGTTTTATGAAGACTAATTTCCTCTTCGGAGTAAAGACAAATTCAACCGTGACTCATGTACTTTACCTTGTGATTTAAGCTTTCAACCCGATGTTGTCCTTCATCTTCATACCACACCTACACCTTACCATCTTCCTACACGTAATATACCTACACCAGATACTGAAACTTTTTATACTCACATCACACCTTGTCATACACCCACTTAGCTACCAAATATAGCTTCACCGGATACCGAGAACCAGATACACGACAACCTTATGCACACAACCGAAACTGAGAACCCCATATCTGATAACATGGTGCCTATGATTTTTGAAAACCCATTACCTCGACGTTCTTCTCATCTTCGCTCTGCTCCACGTTACCTAATGAACTATCACTATGGCTTTTCTATTGCTCAGCATCACTCATCGTTCTCATGTTTGTCTGACTCTACCCCAAACTCAATTTCTCATCCCTTGTCTTATGTTATTTCATATGATATGTGTTGTCCTTCCTATAAGCATTTTTGTCTTAACTCTTGCACTCATTTTGAGCCACACATTTATTCTCAAGCCGTCAAGTATGATCACTGGCGTAAAACAACGGACGCTGAACTATTTGCTCTCTCAGACTAAGACATGGTATCCAGTTGAACTGCCAGAAAGGAAACACCCTATATGTTGCAGGTGGGTATACAAAATTACTCTGATGGATCAATTGAACAATATAAAGCATGTTTAATTGCAAAAGGGTTCACTCAAATGGAATTGGTGGACTACTTTGATACCTTCTCCCCTGTTGCTAAACTTACATCTGTTCGAACTTTACTTGCAGTGGCCGCTCTTCATGGATGGTATCTCGAACAGGTAGATGTAAATAACGCCTTCTTGCATGGCGATCCTTATGAAGATGTATACATGGAGCTGTCCCATGGCTTAATTGTTTCAAACCCAAAGCTTATCTGCAAACTTAAGAAATCTTTATATGGTTTAAAACAAGCTAGTCGACAATGGTATGCTAAACTTTCAGCCTTCCTCGTTTCCCTCGGTTATAAAAAGGCAAATGTAGACCACTCAATGTTCACATTGACCACTGATAGTTCCTTCATAGTTCTTCTCATTTACGTTAGTAATAGTGTTGATGAGATTAAATGCGTCAAAGCATTGCTTGATCTAAAGTTCAAAATAAAAGACCTTGGCAGTTTGCGTTTCTTTCTGGGTCTTGAAGTAGCACGGTCCAAAAGTGGTATTGTTCTTAACTAGAAAAAAATATGTATTGGAGTTACTATCTGACGCTGGATTACTTGCTACAAGAACCCTATCATCTCCAATGGATCCATCCGTTAAGCTTGCTCGTAATCAAGGGCCCCTCTTGCTGATCTAACATTATATCATAGACTTCCTTGGGTTAAACCAGCGTTGGTGTATTGTGACAATAAATCAGAATCCTTCATTCCACGAATGCTCTAAGCATATAGAGCTGGACTGTCATGTGGCGCGTGAGAAAATAATTTGGGCTTGGTCCATTTACTTCTTGTTCCTTTTTCAGCCCAATTGGATGATGTATTTATGAAGCCTTTACCTGAATCTACATTTGTTCCCATGATCTCCAAGCTGGGTTTCATTAATCTCCTACACCCATCTTGTGGGGGGAAACATGAGAGCTTGATAAAAATCCAAATGCAGCATGTGCGTCTTCGCATGCAACGTCTTTCGTTTACACACACATGACTAATCACAACAAATAACACTTTCTGTTAGAGAATTAGTTTTAGTTTGTTCTTTTCCCGCCATTTCTTTCTGATGTATGTATTCTTGGCTCTCCTATATATTTGGAGCTTCGTTGTAATTCATTATTTATTCAAGAAATAACACTTTAATTTTCTCTCCCAAGTATGATCGTTCTTCTCTTCTGATACTAAATATAGACGTTACCCATATCTTTAGTTGCTGAGTTCTTCTTGAGAAGCATGAGGGAGCTCACAATGGGAGAGAGAAAGAAAGGGGATGAGAAAGGAATGGTGCATTGCCAAGTTTGAAACTTGCCCTATCATTCTATATTTGCCAGTTGTAGTCTTTTTTATGTTTTTTTTTTCCTTTATTAAGTTGTTTTTTTTTCAAAAAAAAAAAAAAAAAAGCACTTCATGAATTTATTTGAATGCAATTTTTAGTCAGAAGAAAATTGAAATAATATTTTGAGTTAAGTTTTTTATTTTAAAAAAATAGAAAATGGATACATGTTAAAATTTCATGTTTCTATTTTCCTCCTTACCTTACCTGCATTAAGTAGATGAGGTTTAATCAACATTAATGAAGAAAAATAAATATAAATATTTTAAATTACTCTTTCGTGTTAATTTTTTTTTGGATACTATTCATGTGAAATTTTAACATCAATTAATTAGAACGATTGAAAAACAATTTTTAAAAAAAAGTAATTTACAACTTAGTTGCTTCTCAAAGGA